AAGTTGCAACATTGCTGAGCAGTTTTCACATATTTTTCACAAAACACATTTGAAATTACTCCTCAGAAAATGGAATAAAGCCTTGCTGGAATTTAAGACTAAAATCATGAACAAAACCATTTCCCTGAAGAGCGCTGGGCTGGCAGCACACCATCTGTCATTTGAATGTTTTTCTGCTGCAGAACATTCTAGTTTAGTTTTGTTACCGGTTTATTTTCGGTTTACTGTTTTCACTACTACTGTCTTTAGTGTTTGGAAAAATTAGAGCTGAGATGATGTGTGTGTTGAACCAAGCAACCTTGTCTAAAGATGTCCTGGAGATATTTTGTTTAGCAACATCTATGAAAAGATTCCCCAGTTTCCATGTATTTAAACTTATCGTCAGTGACGAGATATAAACGACGATGCTTTTCCAGATTTCATCGGACCAGTTCTACCACTCTGCAAACCTCAAGTAGATTTTCATCCAGGCCTCTCTTGCAAATCATTGTTAGTTCCAGGAAACTGCTGGCTCAGGTCGGCTGGAACTGCCTGCAAGCTCATTTGCCTGTTGTCGATTTTTTTTTTTTAACCACATAACAAATTAACCAGGAGTTATCATGTAGTGAGATTGCATTGCAGTTTTTTTATGAAACAGTTTTGACGTAGACCAGAAAAAGCCTTTAAATATTGGAGATATAGTAAATATCTGTACCTTTGAATTAGCTTTATTTTTCCAAATTGAGTTATTTTTTCCATTTAATGATGATTTTTAAAAATATAATTATATTTGTGTTTGACTAAAAACACATCACACAGTTCAACATAATATTCAGTGCTTTATTTAGGCGCATTAAAAAAATCTACCTGCAAGTCATTTCTTCAATTCCATGTTTGGAAAAATGTTTGTTTATGGTATATTTTGCAGTATTTGCTGAGTTATATGTTTACTTCCTAACATTGTTGTATAGGTTCCCAACTCTGGTCCCTGAGGAACGCCATCCTGCATGTTTTAGCTGTTTCCCTGCTTTGACAGACCCGATTTGATGATTAACAGGCTTTGGTAGAACATGAGGAAGAAATTAAATCACTGAACCAGGTGTGTTGAAGCAGGGAAACGGCTAAAACATGCAGGGTGGTGTTCCTCAGGGACCAGGGTTGGGAACCACTGTTATATACAAAAGAAAGTCACTATTTGGATCCATGAAAAAAAAAACCAAGGGAATTAATTTTTTTTAATTATTGCTTGCATCCATTTATTGTGGATGTTTATTTCTGTAAACATCCACTGCATTTTGACAAAAAAACTACTGTAATCAGAAAGAAAAACGAACATATTAGTGGTTCCTTGTTTTAGGCTTTTGGATGAAAGATGAAACGTTTCAACAAAAAGAAACCGTCCAGAGAACCTGACTTAACTTGGTTGGAAAAACTAACACACTTAATCCTGATGCTGCTCAATAATCCAGGCAGATAAATCTAACAAGGTTAAGCCAGGTTCTCTGGACAGATCTTCTTCGTTGAAATGTTTCATCTTTAAGACTTCTTAAATCTTTTCCCTTTTGGATTAAAGATGACATGTTTCAACAAAGAAGATCCACCCCGAGAACCTGTCTTAACCTTGTTAGATAAATTTAATTAAAGCTAAACTTTTGTCTGTTTCAGTTTGCAGCCAAAAATCTCAGTCGATGTTCTAAAGTGAATGAATCCTTTTGTGTAAAGTCTTTTTATTCTGGATTACGTAAGAAAGATTAATCCGAGTGGCAGTCTTCATTGTGTTCGTTCCGGGCCCACGGATAAAAACTACTGTTTAACGTGCGTTCATGAGAGGCTGCTTACGGCCAAAGTTTTATCTTTTCTGTTTTAGCCCAAAGAAGCAGCCTCACAAACGGTTTCCTTGCTGGAGTTATGGTTGGCTCTCAGAGTAAAAACAAGAGTTGGAAATCTTAACCCATGTGAATGTGATGTGATTTCAGGTTGTGCACAAATAATCCATGTGTAATTTCTGCACTGCTTCAGTCTTCAGCTCATAGAAGCTTTGTTCAGTTTTTATGACATAAAGTATCGGTTGGACGATGTGTGTGTGTGTGTGCATGTTGGAGGAACAGTAGTTCTGATGTACCAGTGGGTTTGACTCAGTTGGAGCAGCCTGAATGTGGATGAGAGGCAGAAAATCAGTGCATGTGCACAAAGGTTGATGGTATTCACACTGAGCACCACTAACTAGTACTGACTCGAGCTCACCCCAAATGGCTGTTTTTACAAGTTGATCCCAAAGGAAAATCATGTGGAAGAGTTCAACCACAACTAGACACTGTTTTTTAACTACGGTTGAGAAATTTCATGTTAATTGCTTGAGGTTTTGCTACATTTGAACACCAACATGACAAACAATATATTCCTGCGAGAACAAACAAATTACATAATTTTAACATTTCTACTACATGACAGGTCTATTGTGTAGTGGTTCTGACTAGAGCCCAGCCAGTATGGAGATTTTGCCGACATTGGGATGTGAAGGCTCATGCCGATAACCAATATATTGCCTGAGAATGTTTGAGCTTTGTCCACCCCCAAGAATCTAAGTAAACGGGTACTTTTGAACACGTTTCAACACTTGAAGTCTTGAAACAAGTTTTGCTAACGTGCGTTGACATGTTCTATCCTCCGCTATTCACCATAAAGTTATCGAGTGTGTTACATGAATATAAAATAAACAAAGAAAAGCACCCTTCCTTGTTCATTGTTTAAACAGTCAGTCACGTAGGGTGAAGATTCTTTGCAGAGAAGTAAAGACTTCAAACAATGCATTTCATCGAGGACGACAAATATAACGTTATTGATACCGATATATATTTTACCTCTACGTTAGATTTATTGTTCTGGTAAAGTTTTACAAAGCAATAGCCAATGCTACGTTATTTAAATGTTGGCTTGCTAATTTGAGACGCATGTAGTTAATGACAAGCAAGTTGAAGGATTGAAGATAATTTATTATTGTAGATTTGTTTTACAGATCGGTTAAAATAAACTTACCGCTACACAGTGTTGCTCCCTGTTTTGGCTGTGCTCTGAGTCGTGTGCAGCATGGCCATGACTTGAAAGTAATTTGCATGCGCCCTCTGCTGGATACATTGTACAATTATGTCCTTTGCAAGCGTAACGCACTGGAAATGGACCAGGACAGGCACTAACATATGCTAGGTTCTGCCAAGAGATGATGTCACACTCACTGAATACCGAACTGATTATTTTATTGCTTCGCAACATGCAATTAAACATTTAGAAACAAACTTTATACAAATATTGAGGGAAAAAAATTACAAGCAAAAATTAAATAGAGCTCTTTTGAAAAAAATAAAAAAAAGTTCAGTTCTTTAGCAACGTTGCTACCCAGGTAGTGTTGTCCACAGTTCGCATGGGCTCGGCTCGCCATCACGATCAAAGAATCCAGAGTTACTATAAAAAACAATCTGCATAAAGTGAATAAAGTAAATCGTTCTGTTCCCGTTCAATTAAGAGATTCCATGTCCTTTCTCAAGAATACAAATCATTCACATATTTCTCCTTTTAGTTTTTAGCGTAATCAGCTTAAGTTTATGGTAAACTACCATGAAATGCAGTAAACAGTAGTTAACTGTTAACTATTCTTAGTATTAAACCAACAAATACATGGACAACTTAAATGTGCAGTGCATAACTTGTAAGTTAATCTAAATCAATGTTAGACTGCATAACATATCAGGCATATTAAACATTTTCCCTTTCTTTTGCTTTTTAAAATGTTGATTAATGAGTTTATAACACTTCGACATTTGTTATTTTAACCAAAAACAACTTATAGTAGCTTTAACATGGCTTACTGTGAACTGCATGCATTTTTAATGAACCAATATGATTTAGAATACAAAAAGCACATTCTTTGTCACTGTAGAGCTAATTCTAACCTTGTAAAATGATACAGGCCTTTAGCATTAACATCTGTGGTTAGTGCTAGCATTAGCTCGGTTAGCATTTTTATTCTTATTTCTGTCAGTACAATGATGTAAAACACACCAAAGAAATTAAAACATTAGGACAAAGTTCAACAAACTCCCGACTGGTTTATTTAGAGACATATCTCTGGCAGTTTAATATTTAACTTATCTATACATTATCCGCAAGCTACGTGAGCTCAACTGAGTTATTCACTCACCGGGATTTCCACAAGCTATCACCCAACAAGCGGTCACCTCGGTCTCTCACTGGGATTTCCACAGATAATTCTCGATGTGTGGTCACTTCTGTCACTCATAGACAGGTTGTAAGGTCCACACTTTGGTCGGTCAGTGCACGTGTAAAGAGCGTGCCTCAGAATATAGGGAAATATGACCAAACCACGTTGGTTAAATTCAACTCAGTAAAAACGGAGTGCCCTCTGCTGGACCTTCCCGGTATAACAACCTAAATTACAGATATGGGTTCAGTAGCCCAATGTTTCATGGGGGTTACACAAGTAAGGACTGGACTTGTTCCCAGCATTTAGAGGTGAAAATTAGAAGTGTTTATATTGACGCATAATGGGCCAATTATCACCAATTATCAGAATTATCGTATGTCCCCAAATGTCTATATCGGCCTTGCCGAATTATCAGCAAGGCTCTAGTTCTGACATATATATATATGTGTTGTTAGGTTTTTTTTTTTGTTTGTTTGTTTTGCAGTTGTTACCACTATTACAACATGTTTAAAACATATTAATCTAGCTAGGATTTTATCTTCCAGCCTTTGTGTCTAAAAATAGAGGATACATTATAAAGGTCACAAGACAAAAAAAAAAGTGGAAAAACCACCGGTACATTTGAAAAGTGACTTGACTATTAAAAATTCAATGCACTAAAATACCTGAAAGTTATGTTGAGTAACATGTTACAATTTTCTAAAAATGTGACTCTGAAGCTAATGTCATCTTAGTTTTTTCTGTCCGTTTAGGTTGTGGATGTGTTCTAACTTGCTCTTGTTTCTCTTTGTTTCTGTTACAGGATGAAACTGGAGCCTATGTGATCGACAGAGACCCCACCTACTTCGGCCCCATCCTGAACTACTTGCGGCACGGCAAATTGGTGTACAACAAGGAGCTTGCAGAGGAAGGTCTCAGATGTTTTTACTCTTCTCTGATGGATTTTGGATTTGTTACTTTGAGCTTTGATCAGAATGGAAAAGATGACAATAGGCACCAGACAAAATGTATTTTTAATAAGTGTGCAGAAAGTTTTTTTTTATTTTTTTATGTAGTTACGTACTTGGGAGAGTTCCATGCCAGCACGACGCTCCTGCCACGCGTATCGCTTCTGCTCTAGCTTGTTTCTATTATCATGTCATGATCTGCAAAACCTTTCTATTTTTTTTATATGTGAAGTGTCTTGGCCTCCACCAACAGTTTCATGCTCGCTGCGGAGAAGGCAACAGAACTCAGCAGCATGAGAGAACGCAGGTGAAGGGGCTTTCTGTTCAGGACCTTGAATTCATCCATCCTTATTCTTTTCTTGTCCTTGTCATGGCCTGGCCATGATGAGAACAAGTGCTTCTTGTTCTTACTTTGTGTTCACATGATGAATGAAAGACAGCTGAGCATGGTGGTATCTACTGATACGAGGAAAGCTTGTGTTGGTTGTTGATGGCACAGGGCGAGAGCGTGGTGAAGGACTATAGTGGTCCTGATGGTCATAGCGAGAGCAGCAGTGTGGTACGAAGAATGTAGCAGTTATACCACTAACGCCACACGCAGGCCCTGGTTATGAATATGTTGCGACTACTCTCCACCCAGGAGAGTACACCACCATGACCTCACTACAGAGGTTTGACGCCTACTTCAAACAGAGTGCAACAGTGCACTCTGTTCCACCTAATGGGAATCCATTGTGCCACTGCATTATAAAGTCCAACTGTAGCCGCTTGTTTTTGTTTGTTCGTTTGCTTCAAGGTGTCCTAGAGGAGGCAGAGTTTTACAACATCACCCCACTGATCAAACTGATAAAGGAGAGGATTATAGAGCGGGACTCGAAAGCCACACAGGTAAATTCAGAACCTGTTCTGACACAGTACTTTCCAAAAGTCTACAGCCACTCTTTATTTCTTTATAGGTTTTATGATGCAATCATTTTCTGGTATTTAAAGTATTACTGGTGTAGTTTTTAAGCTTTCTGAAGGTCTTTATTCATTTTCCATGTAAGTTATGTTTGAAAGTAAGTAAATAAACTTTATATAGCACCTATCATAGATGAAATCACAAAATGGTTTACAGAATACAGGCTTAAAATAAAACAAAAACGGTAAAAACAGCTGATAAATACAGTAAGAACAGCTGATAAAAACAGTAAGAACAGCTGACAAACAACAGTAAGAACAGCTGATAAAAACAGTAAAAACAGCAGATAAAACCAGTAAGAACAGCCAATGAAAACAGTAAGAACAGCCGATAAAAACAGTAAGAACAGCCTATAAAAACAGTAAGAACAGCAGATAAAAACAGTAAGAACTGCGGATAAAAACAGTAAAAACAGCAGATAAAACCAGTAAGAACAGCCAATGAAAACAGTAAGAACAGCCGATAAAAACAGTAAGAACAGCCTATAAAAACAGTAAGAACAGCAGATAAAACCAGTAAGAACAGCCAATGAAAACGGTAAGAACAGCCGATAAAAACAGTAAGAACAGCAGATAAAACCAGTAAGAACAGCCAATGAAAACAGTAAGAACAGCCAATGAAAACAGTAAGAACAGCCGATAAAAACAGTAAGAACAGCCTATAAAAACAGTAAGAACAGCAGATAAAACCAGTAAGAACAGTCAATGAAAACAGTAAGAACAGCAGATAAAACCAGTAAGAACAGCCGA